GACTGGCAGAACGACCCGGAAGCCTTAGCTGCAACTGTCATCCAAAGCAAATTTAAGGCGGCCACCACCCTCCAGGGAAGCCAACTGGACTATCTCCTGGTCATTCTCCCCCGAAAGTCTCCTTTGACTGCAATCAACTGGCCATGGCGGTGCAGCAGCTCCAGCGGTTTCCACCTATTGGCAGGACCTTTCAACTCCCACATCCTTGGACCAGCTTCCCAGAAGCGGACGGGCCCTTTTGGATCATGAATGACCGCGTTGAAGGTGTAGGCTCCGACTTGGCAAGATGGGCCACCCAAACGGAGCAGTACATCACACAGCTTCTCCACAAGCCGGTCACTGGGAGAGGTTCCAACATCTCTCTGCTTCAAGCTCCCTTAGTGGATTCCACCACATCCAGGACGTGGATGCGAGGAGCGGTGGCCTTCTGGGAGAAGCTCAATGTACGCATCAATGTGGTCCACCACTCTGGCCACAAAAGGGTCCTCAGAGACCTCTCTCACATGATGGTGGATGTGCATCGTTATGGCTCGGACGATTTTCAAGCGGACCTCTTTTTGGCCATTTTGCAGCAGTGGCTTCAGAGCCCGGCCAAGGACCCTGCAGAGCTGAAAGCTATTGTCTTGGATCAGGAGCAAAAAGCCCAGAAGCAAGCGCTGTATTCCACCAGTCTGGAATTTCAAGAATGGCTCAGCAAAGCGCACCAGAAGGGTCTCGGCGGACTCTTCCGGAGCCTTCGTCTTCGTGATCAAGCATGGCAGCGGCCTTTTCAGAGTCTCCCAGCTCCGGAGCGAATCCGGGCCAGAGAACCAAGCCCCAGTTCAGATCCGAGGTCTGGAGCACCTTCGAGTTTCAGCCCTACAGGAAGCTGCCACTTGGGCATCCATAGATGCCTCACTGCTCCAGAAATTGATGCGCCGCCTACCCAACAAAGCGGCTGGGCCGGACGGCATATCCTACGACATGCTGCGCCACTTGCCCTACCAGGCGGTCTCTCGTCTGGCAGCTCTCCTCACTGAGATGGAAAGGAGTGGGCAATTGCCAACGCAGATGCGCTACACCAATGTGGTTCTTATCCCAAAAAACAGCAATGTTGAGAGACCCATTGCACTCACCTCTTGCCTGTACCGGGTTTGGGCCGACATCCAGAAATGGAAGATCTCCCTGGACCATGCTCTGCCATGGGATCAAGCAAGGCCCAAAAGGGACTGCCTGTCCATTGCAGTGGGGAGGATGCTCAAAGCAGAAGTTCGCAAACATCAGGGCATCCACACCGTGACCTGCCTAGCGGACTTGTCGTGCTTCTACGACACGGTCAATTTGGACCACATCATTGAGCCGGCTGCTGAGCTCCAATATCCTCCGGTGCATCTCAAGTTGGCTTTGGATCTCTATGCGGGGCCTCGTTTGCTACAAGCGGAAGGCATAGCAGGCACTCCCACCCACTATGCCAAAGGCATCCTTCAAGGATGCCCTCAGGCACCAGCCATCTCCAAGCTGGTGCTCTACAAGCCGCTTCAGGAGCTCAACCGGCTGCATCCGGCGGTGGCGCTACAAACATGGGTGGATGACGTCTCGTATGACGTGGTTGGAAGTGATCCTGACTATGTGGCCAGAGAGGCCATCCTGGCTTACAGGACCCTCAACAGGCTCCTCACGGAAGCGGGTCTCAAAGTCAACAACGACAAAACAGGGTTCTTATCTAGCAGCAAAGAAACTGCCAAAGCCTTGCATCCGCGACACCACAATGTTCTTCGAGACTTGGGAGTCGATGCAACTGCTGCACGTCACCGACGGGTGGCTCAGACCAAGAAACGGTTCCTTAAGGGTCAAGCAAGAACGGGCATCCTCCATCGCCTCAAGCTCCAGCGCAACATCCGCTACAGACTGCATCGGAGTGCAATCCACCCTGCGATGTCTTGGGGGGCTCAAGCCACCGGATTGGCACCGCAAAGGCGGCAGCAGCTTCGAGTCTTAGCGGCCCGAGGTCTTCATCTGCAGAAGTCAGGCTCGGTGGACGTTGTGTACGACATGAATCCCAAATTTCCTGACCCGGGTGACTCGATCATTCAACAGCACCTCTTCTCGGTCTGGAAGATTTACCACTCCTTCGATGAGAGCACGCAGCATCTTTTCTGGACCAGTTGGAATGTAGCTTTGGGAGCATTGCAAAAGGCCAAATATCGCTGGCAAGTGGTCCATGGGCCCATGCAGGCTTTGCAGGCCTATTTGCTTGACTATGACTTCGACCTGTCCAACGCCAAAGCTTGGAAACGCACCGGCTACGGGGGCATACCGGACTGCCTGCTGTGTCTTGAGGAAAGCTGGCCGCTGCTCAACCACAAGTTGCAGGAGGAATTTCGGTGGCAGCGTTTGCTGCGTCTAACCCGCTATGAGGGGTGCCACGACTTGGAAAGGCAGCTTGATTGGCAGATCTCCCGAGTAATCCAGAAGTATACGGACGACAAGCTCGGCCCAGCTCTTCGGGCCTTCCATCAGGGCACCTACCATGGAAACAGCGCCTACAAGCTGGCACTGAGCCGGAATTGTGGCAGCGAGGCATGGTCCAATCCATTTTCTACCTCCAAGAGGGTGGCATGGGAACCTTTGTCACGGAGGGCTCATGGACTCCACAAGACACCTTTGACGTACCGGCAGGTCATGCCATTACCTTGGGAGTGGCTCAGACCTGCAAGGATGTCCGACACAAAAGCGCTTTGTCTTTGTGGTAGCCATGTACCATGTTCATTCCAGGCAGCGCAAAGCAGCTCTCAAAGGCATAGTCCCGGGCAAAGCCACTCAGGCAAGGGCTGTCTTCTATGGCCTCAAGCGCCTGGCGCTCCATGTGAAAGAGAAGGTCGCCATCGGCATCCATGTTCACGCTGTCTGGAAAGCTTGGAGTCCCACCAAAGCCTACGAGACTTTTCCGGATTTGTACCAAGGCCTGGACTTTGACGACTTTGATCACGTCCGACCCCTTCTGTTCAGCAAAGCAGAGGTTGACTCCAATGAGACCAGGCAGGCCTTTCAGGCTGATGTGGATCGGCTGGCTCGCAGCTTTGCTCAAGCATCCAGGAATGAAGAAATTCTGGATCTGCAGCGCCACATCGACGAAGATACGAGGGACATCCTCCATGTCGCGGGGGCAAGAATGGACATCTTGATGAAGGATCGCTCCCATTTTTTGCACCAGGGCCAGAAGATCCAGCAGGACTCCAAGGTCCCACTCATCCAGCAGAAGAAGGTCATTCTGGACCAACTTCTGGCGGCGCCGGAACAAGGGGGACACCATTGGCAACCTTACAGGACCGGGGTGCGTTGTCAGCAATGCAAACAACGGCTACATGCCAAAAGCCTCATGACTGAGCTGCGGCCGGCTTTGACCTCAAGCGGTGCCGCCCACGGCGTCCAAGAAGACCCGCCTCAACGACCTCATCAGTGCTCAGTCAGGGGTCCAGCAGGGCGTCCACCACCTTCGGTTGGACAAAGCTTACCTGAGGTGCTCCGAGTGCCACCTCTACATCCTTGCCAGATGTCGAGAGGATGCTTTTGCCTCCTTCGTTGGAAGCCCCTGTCACGTTGGGCTGATGGAGAGCAGTGCCTGGACCGGGCATCCTTCTCATGTGGTCATGAGACGAGGCCAGCAGCTCTCGCGCTCACGATGTGGTGGCAGGAGCAAGGTAGTGGACGGCAACATCCAGCTGACCGAGAAGATGTCCCGAAGGTGCGTCATGGCGGGTGCAACTGATCTCCGCCAATGGTTCACATGATTTCACCCGAGAGCACGCAATGGCACAGAGAAGTCGCGCAAAAATATATATATATATGTATATATATATATATACATACACAGTATGTAGTATGTAGAGTCGAACCTTCACCTGTGACCGTCCAAAATGCAACTGCAGCCAATCCAAGCTTGTTCAAACCTGTTTTTGATAAAGGGCTGCTTTGCGCTTGATACGCATTACAAATCACCCTCGCAGTGTTGATCTGCAACCCATCATCAAAGACTTCTTCGCTGTCTCTCATGTTCTGAAAACACAGGCAAAGAACACATTTGTGCATGTTGCGCTGGCCGGGCCGTCTGACAACAATTTGTGGTACCCAACAAGCTGGAGAGGCTCAAATTCTTGGCAGTTGTGGTGCTACCTGCATGAACAGCGATGTAAAACCCAATGGATGTTCGATGCATTCGGCACATAAACTTGAAATTACACTATTCTGTGGGTATCAAAAAGAAGCTGAGAAAATGAAGGCTCCGTGTTGTTTGTGGTTCGTGGCTGATACGCCACCCTTTGTGGGGTGGGGTGGAGTGGGGTGGGGTGGCGTGGGGTAGGTGGGGGGTAATGACGTGCTTGTTCCGAAGTAGGGATGCAGTTATGCGTACCTCACTGTGTTTTCCAGGTATTACAGTGTACATATTTTTATCACGGTTGCTTCTATGCAATATCCAAATCTACTGCAAATACCAAAAAATCCAATAAACAATTCCGGTAATGACCTTCTAGTCGAAAGAAGAACGCTTTTTCACAGGTGTCTTTTTAATGTGTGTTTGTTTTTCTTGCGTGTTGAGTTGCAAAGTGTTGCAAATAAAGAACAATTATCATGAAAGAACTCTTCGTTGAACTTTGGGATGACTGCAAATAACTTATCATCAGACCTTCGAGAATACGTTTCCAAACTTTTGTTCTCACACTCACATGTCACAAGCATCTTCCGGTGGGAAACTTGATGCACCGGCTAAGACACGTCTAATACCAACAAAAATCATACTGTATATAATATATACAGTATATATATATACATGAAAGAAAACAACCAAACAGCACGAGCATACAGTTGCAGGGCGGCGTGTCAGAAGTGTCCCTTGTTTGCTGCCCCCTATGGACTTTGGCCTGAGAGACTGGAAGGTGAACTATCTGCAATATCGTCGTGAAATTCAACGAAACAGCTTTTGAGTATCCAAGATGTCGTGTCTGTGAGACCAGATTTCAGTCCTGACACAATACAGCAGCAGCCCTCATTAAGTGCCAATGTCCCAGAGGGAACAGCAATGTGTGCGGTGCCCTTCACTTGGTAGAGCCACGTCCTGTGAGTAGAACCGAACGACGGTAACAAAAAGCGATGTGTATAATGTATTGATAAGAAAATGAATACATAATATATACAGTATCGTATATATACATAAATATATATATATATATTGAGCTGTGCTGGAAACCCCTTGATGGATTGAAAGGTCATATTTCCTTGCGCGCGCAGTTTTAGCTTACGCGGCTGGTTTGTGGTAGAAGGGGCTTACGCCAGGTTTACGCCACAGCAATGCACTCAAACTTCCACACCACTCCAAGAGAAAAATTCGCGCGACGTTTGAAAGACCATCCAGGTTGTCGATGATTCGGCTGCGCTGCTTCACTTGCAGCTGTGAAAAAGGACGCTGTTTTGGTGCTATGAGTGGGCAACTGAATAGAAATCGAAGTTGTCTTTACGCGGTGCCTACGCGGACCTTGCGCCAAAAATCGGTCCATTGTCAGTGCTCTGGGGGTGGTATGAACTTAAAAGTCCTTACAGCATTAAAAAAAATGCGCGTAGTCGTGAAGTGACCGTCGACACGGCACGGCTGCGGAAAGAAGTGCCAGCAAGGTATCTCTAAGAACAAATAAAGAACTGCAAAAAAACGTTACGCAACTTGTTACACCCTCACGTCGTTACGCAACCTTACGCGCAGCAGGCTTTTGCTTACGCCAACCCTCCTTATGACCAAGCTCTTAGCAAAAATGTGAAGACAGGCTTAGGGCGCCGCTCATATATACACACACAGACACTCCATCGAGTGAGTGAGTGAGTGAGTGAGTGAGTGAGTGAGTGACTGGGTGAGTGAGCGGGTGAGTGAGTGAGTGAGTGAGTGAGTGAGAGTAGAAAGAGCGAGCGAGCGGCGAGCGAGCGAGGGAGGGAGTGAGGGTGATTGAGTGAGTGAGGAGTGAGAGAGTGAGAGTGAGAGTGAGAGTGAGTGAGAGAGAGCGTGAGTGAGAGTGAGTGAGTCAGAGCGAGTGAGAGTGAGTGAGTCAGAGCGAGTCAGCGTGAGTGAGAGTGAGTGTGTGAGCGTGAGGGTGAGAGTGCGACGAAAGTGAGAGTGAGATGAGTGAGAGTGAGCATCTGAGAGCACAAAGTGCTGCACCTGCCACGAAATCTGCACTTCGAGGTTCACAAAGTGCTGCCCCTGCCACGAAATCTGCATTTCGAGGTTCACAAAGTACTGCGCCTGCCACGAAATCTGCACTTCGAGGTTCACCAAGTGCTGTGCCTGCCACGAAATCTGCACTTCTATGTTCACAAAGCGCTGCGCCTGCCACGAAATCGGCACTTCGAGGTTCACAAAGCGCTGCGCCTGCCACGAAATCTGCGCTTCGTGGTTCACCAAGTGCTGTGCCTGTCTGCAAACAAGCCACATGTCCAAAACTCACAATTCACTGCACCTATACCATGTCCAAAGTGCTGCGCCTGCCACGAAATCTCCATTTCGAAGTAAAGCCGAGTCGATCCCTTGCACCTGTCACGAAAAGTCGACTTTGGACCACCGCAACATGAGGTTTCCCTTGCGCCTGCCACGAATAGTGACCACCATGTCTGAAAATGCGCACGGCGCCACAACGAGAGCGCAAGCACGACAAGCACCCACCGCGCCCCAGCAGATTTTGCGAGCCTGCGCAGTCGAAATGCACTTCGAAGATTTCGAGAGGCATGAATGTACTACAAATAGCAGCGAACTAGCCGCACACGCCCGCGCGACACCTCCGATTAGACACCAGTGCTTAACCACTACCGTAAGAACCCCTAGTGTGTCCACACAGTTTGAGGAAAAAAGCTGTACAATCAAGAAGGAAGGGAGAAGAGTCTAAAGATCTAAGGGAAAAGTCTAAGCAAAAAAAACAAACAACAGGAAATCATTAAAAGAATGCATTTGCTCAAGTAAACACACGATCGTGGGTATGCTCCAAGGCTTTGGCTCCAAATCAGAACTCTTCCCAGTCTGCTCTGATCTCCCTCCGATTACAAAGACTTCAAACTCCTGCAGCTAAGTTCAGCAACAACTCCGCTGAGTCAAAACTAGAGGATAAGAGGTAGCTATATAGTAGCTCTATTAGGTACTAAACACGCTCCCAGCAACAGGACGCATGACAGCTCACACTTCTTCAAGGTGGCGGGGGGAGCCTCCTTTTTTACTCGCACACCATGCTCGGAGACGTTTGGTGACCACCCATGCTTCCGCGACAGGGGTCAGAGAGGACCTTTGTACACATATTCAGAGCAACTGGTCAAACATTATCGACCATGAATGGGGTGAGGCAGCAGCCCCTTTGGCAAAGGCTCTTGCAAGTAGCTCGAGAGTGGAGTTGTCCAGCAGAACTTCCGCACCATGAAAGGCACCCTTGGGAAAAGTGGTGCCATTACATTTGTTGCCTTTATCAAGGTGTATTGGAGCAACCACAATCTGCCGGACTTTGCACAGAGAAAAGGCGGCTCGTATGATGGCAGCGTAAGCTTGTACCGTACATAAGACACCTTGAGGAAGGTCAAAATGCCAGCCGTGAAGAAAGGCATGCGCGGCCAGCTCAAAAACAGAGCATGCGAGCTCTTCTCCTTGTTTCCAGCGCAGCGTGTTACACATTCTCAAGAACACCTTGAAATTTGAACCTGACAACCTGGCCGTTGCTTTGAAGCTCATATCAACATCCAACTGCACAGTCCAGTTGTAGTTTTCCGGGCAGGAATCCCATGACCACCTGGGATATCGTTGACGGGCAGGAACTGGCACAGGTGGCGGGTTCACCGCCGGAGGCCCATTCCGAGCCCCACTGACATCCTTCTTACAGCATCGGTTAAGCTTTGACAGCCAGAGTTGCCGTGCAAAAACATCTGTCTCCTTGGATTGGAGGTTGACTCTTTCAATCTCAGCAAGCCGGCATATATGCTGTTTTGCATGAAAATCTGCAAGCCGGTTAAGAAGGATATCACGTTTGTTGGACCCGGCCACTTTCGCAGCTTCCTCTGTGACAAGCTCAGCTGGAAGATGCTCCAAAAGATGTGCGGGGCACCAAATCAACTGTAAGGGCATGTCACAGAATCCACGCCTCTGATGAATAAGCAAATGCAGGAAGTTCCACCAATTGGCATGCGTCCAGTCAATTTGCACCGACCCACGGCGTAGGAGGTCGGAGAACTGGTTGGCAATGGTGAGCGAATCTGTGTGTATCACCAGGGGTGAGTCAGCCATGGCAAAGGCTACAAGCACCGCCCATAATTCAGCACTGTAACTTGATAATCTCCAGTGGCGAACTTGGCCAACAGCATGGAGACTTTCATTCTCTGCAACCACGGCATATGCAGCAAGGGAAAGCCATGGATGATGTGAAAGCTGAACCGATCCATCTGTCCATACATGCCTGGGTCCATCTGCCCGCTCTGACCATGGGGAAACAGCCAGGGTGGAGGGCATGGATACCTGTAGCTTGTCTTTGACAACTTGTATCGGAAGTTCAGCTATACCCAACATCGTGAAATTCGGCCCAAAGTAGTGAGCTGCAGATGGCTGAGCCAAGTCAGCTGGGAATGTTGAAGCGACTCCTTGGCCGCCCCGCAGAACCTACAAGCCGAATCAGTAACAAGTCCAGCTGCTGCAAGCCTGTCGGCTGTCAAGGTGCAACCAATAACTGCGCTCTCCCAATGAAAAAGGAAGGAAAACCCATCATTGGGAATCTTGGCCAGCTTCTTTTTGGCAGACAATGTCAAAGGAAGATCAAGAAAACCATCAGCTTTCCTCAAGTCTTTCCGGGGCATCAGACAAGCAGTATGATAACACTTGTTAGCCGCAAGGCCTTTGAGGATACACTTGAGATCCGAAAGTGAAAACTCCAAAAAGTCAACGGGAGGTGCATCAAAGATGGAAAACCCAAAGGCAGAGCACCACGAGATATCCAAGATGTGGCAAGCTTGCCCAAATTGAGCCATCCAGGATTGCGGTGTAAGTTGATCCTGCTCGTATAGACCTTCCCAATCATGCCGGGCCACCTCGGACGATTGAAGAAATCTGGCAGACTCAATAATAGTGGCAACGGCCCGGTAGAGGAATGGATCCAATTTGTGGGCCTTGTGGACAATGCAGAGGAGCAGATGCTTGGATCGCCACATGGGCCTGTCCTGCCATAGAGCATCGGCAACGGCACACTGGAGCCGGGCAAGACTTTGTTCACCGGAAAGCTGCCTGCATTTTTGCATGTAGTCTGCACATGGGCCCCAAGGATGTTCACGCTCTCAACAAGACGCATTGATGGAAAGGCCAGCTTGAGAGCCTTACGAAGTGGCCCTGTAGTGGCAAAGATCTCACATTTGCTGGCATTCAGAAATTGACCACATATCGAGTCCCATAGTTCTGTCGCCCGAACTGCAGCAACCAAGTTGTTGATGGAGGGCAGACGGGTCCAAATATATGTGTCATCGATGAACGCTCTGAAGTCAATGCCATCAATATTGCCAATAATCCAAACCCACACTGCCATGTGGACATTGATGCACAGCAAACTTAATGAACATCCCTGCACAACCCCATTCGGTGTGGAGATTGCCTGAGATCTGGTCCATTGTTTGAACGAAAGGAATCTTGTCATACGAGAGTACAGGCCCAAGAATCCACAAACAAAACACCGAGGAAGGCCAAGAGCAAGAAAAATTGCCGCACATAGACGTGGCATCAGCCGATCAAAGCACTTTGCCTTGTCAAGCTTGAGGCCAGCGAAGGAGCCATTAAAGCTGTGTGCTTTATCAACCTCCGTCTGGATGGTCATGTGGACCTCGGACATGTTTCTGCCTTTGATCCCACCTTTGAGCTGTGGCGGCAGAACAGTCCGCTGCCAATGTTGAAGCTGCGAGAAGCGAAGGCCAGTGTATATAAGTGTGAATACAGATTGGAGTGAGATGAGCCTTTTGGATAAAGGTGCATCACTCCCATCTTTGTTGTGAATGACCATCCTCACCTGCGTAAGGATAGTAGGGAATTCCTCAGATCCAGCTTCAATCTGGTTGAACAGGGTAGCCACAGGCCGAAAAGCAACTGGTGGAAGTGCCTGAACCTCTCTTGTCTGCCACCCATCAAGTCCAGCTGCGGCATCTGGCCTCCTCTTGGCTGCCTGCTTCCACAGTTGATCCTCCGTGATGGGAGGTAGTTCAATACTCTTCCCTTTGTCGTGGATATAAGGCCAGACTTGCTTGAGTAGGGTCATCTCATGATCATGGCAGGTATTGACCGAAAAGACCGAATCCCAGTTGCTGGCAATGGTATTCATGGCGACTTGTGGATCATAGATAATGTTCCCCAAATCATCCTCGACAAGATTGGGTGGAACCACCTTGCCTTTCCTTTTCAGATATTGGTACACAATCTTACCAATCGCACATGATGTTGTTGCTAGCTTCATTGCGTTGCGCCACTTGGAGATTGCAGCACATTTCAAATTCCGGACTTCAAGTGCAATGGCCTGGAGAGTGATTTCCACTAGATGAGGGAGATCTTGTGCAAAAATTTGTCGTACTTGGAAAGGTTAAAAGTTTTGCCACCTTCAATCTTCGAAGAAGCCGCTGTTGAGTATTTCGAAGGGTCCTAAGATCCCCTGCACTTGTAGTAGAGCGTGTAAACCTATGTTCCAGTTCACGAAGAGATCGAAGTGAAGCCCTCAGCAAGTGTAGGCGAGGAGAGGCAAGATTACCAGAGGCGTCCTGTGCAGCACAAACCTGAACACGATGAAAGGTTGGCTGAGTGCCACGCACACATGGGCCAGCACCCCAACGAGCACCATTGAGAAGTAGAAGTTGAGTGGCAAAGTGGTTGAAAACTTCCCACTTGGCATCTGCAGTTCTGGCTGCTGAGAAGTCACCCTCATAGCCATGCCATACTTGCTCTCCAAGTGTATTGACAGGGCACCCTGGGTCATCAGGATTACACCTCTGAACATGGTCGAGATGCAGCGGGGCAGGCCTCTGCATAATGGAGCCAACCTGTTGAATCCTGTCCCATGCAAAGGTGGCCTGTACAGGTCGATGTTGACGATCACGGTGGTCCAACACCCTGATGTCAATAAGTGCAGTTAACGCTGTACGGTTCATCAGGATTCCATCAATGGAAGACTCACCTTCACCAGCAAGGGCAGAGGAATGTTGGAAAAACGTAGTAGGCCGAACAACATCACCCTGTGCATCAGTGGAAAGAAGCGGATCAGACCAGCCCCAATGGTCCAAAGCAAGTTGGACAGCCGGGTACATGCCCGGTTCCATTTGAAAATCGCCACCCAGGAGGATGGGGATGTCCCCAAATTGAGCCGCAATCATGAAGATCATATGCAGCAAATCGTTGTTTCTTGTAAATTTGGCGCGTTCAGAGGCGGCATTGGCAATACCATAAAAATTGAAGGCCAGGAGCTTTACACCAGTGGAAACTTGGTGCCAGGTAGCAGTGACACGTGCAGAGGCACGGAGCTGGGCCCATTGACCTGAAATGTCCATCTTCTCATCAAAAAGCTGGGTAAACTCTCTGTGCGAGCACGTAGCAGTACCCCCTGAGGGAACACGAAAGGTGCCATTGCTGGCACGTTGCTTCTGAAGGGGCTGTGAACAAAATAGGCTGAGATTGCACATACCAGCTTTTCGTTGCACCTCAGCTATGTTTGAGTCTGCAATACGAGCTTCCTGCAACAGAAAAACATCTGCATCCCACTGCAAGCAATTGTAATTCGTGGCAAAGGAATCCACATTTGCTGATAGGATAGACCAGCGGGGCCCTTCACCGGGAAAGCCTAACGTACTGTCAAAGATGTCAGAACCCCACCATACATGGATGCAGGACTCCCTTCTTGGCACTTCCATCATACGTGCACAAAGCAATGTACACCCAAGCTTCTTCAGTAACGACACGGCCCAGCCATTGAGTTGCTGCCACACAACAAAATTCTGAATTCTGGCACGATCAACCAGCGGAGAGGTTCTCTTCTTCACCCTGGAGTGGAAGTACAACATCGCCGG